TGTTTAAATGTATCTTCAGTTCTTAGCAGGACAGAAATTTCTATGGTGAGAAGTAGCTGATCTTATGAAATCAGCTTTATTATTTGTATTAGTGTTTTCATTTTAAACATAGTGATAATGAACATGAAAGTTCACGATTAAAAATATATATATATGAATTACAGTTTGGAGAAATTGAATTTGGGGAATCAGCCTACAGGATTTTTCAGATGCTTCCCAGACCACTTATGAATAAGAAGCATTATAGAAAACAGAAATTGTGGTCTAGTTAGTGGTTAGATAATTGGATTCCTGGTACTAGACTGCTCATGCTTAAAATCCAGCTTGACTATTATGGGACTCTGGGAAGGTCATGAAGCTGCTCTGAACCTCAGCTTTACCAGATTGAAGATGGGGTGAAAATATATATACTCTGAATTAAATCCCACATTATTCTGGAAAGACAAGTGAGGAATCTTTGATAACTCACCTCAGAGGAGCCGGAGTTAGTGGCAGAGTACAAACCTTGAAGGTACAGGCATGTCTAGCCTGTTCAGTCTAATGTAGTCTTCTTCATTCTTCGGTCTCCCTAAAGAGGCCTGGAAATACACGAACACAGTAACCTTCCTGTGGCCTTGTTAGACATGACCGACAGCCACACATGGGTTGTTGAAGAGTGCAGCATGTGGACCCAGTGCCTGCACCTGAGTCTTGGCTCTGCAACTTACTAAACGTACAACCTTGAATAAATCATTTACCTACATGTGCTTGGTTATACCTATAAAGTGGAGATAATTAAGAACTCCTACCTCATTGTGTTGTTGCAAGAATTGGATGAATTAACTCAAGTAAAGAACCTAGACATTGCTTGGTACAAAATAAGAAGCAAGTAAAATCATTATTATAAATAAGTACTTGTTAACTTATCACAATATGCAGCTTTCTATCTCTAATTTAAATATTGGATGACTGATAATCCTATATGTCAATAAATCAGTAATGTTACCAATCCCTGATCATATACGGTCTCCTATATCCTTAAAAGTAGGATGACTTCAAGCAATTTCAAATTTTCAGTGCGTGCGCAGGAAAAAACAGCAAGTGTCTGTCGAGCTCTAAGGGGCCCTTAGTTCCATTTTCACAGCTAATGGCTTTTAAATAAGCCACTAAATGCCATTTGCTGGGGTTGTCCTTCATCAGCAGTGAAGCCGTATCTATGTGTTTCAATGGCAAATGGGAATTCTCTTATCAGGCTCATACTGTTTACAGATAGCAGAGAGGTAAGCAAGAACAGTTACCAATGGTTAAAATAAAATCTGTAACAAGGCTAATGGAACCAAAACGCCAATTCTGTAGACGTTTTTTCCTCTCGGTCCCATCCCCCTCTCTAGTATCCCATTGGGAACTTTCTCCTAGTCTAAGAGCAGCACAAATGATTAACATTTTGCTGCAGCTTCCAGTTGCCATGGATTTTTTTTTTCCTTGACAATACAACAAAGCATAGGAAATATGTTGTTTTGTCTCACTCACAGAATAGGAAGGATTTTGCTGAAGCTGCAGCCAATCTCACATTATGAAGGAAAAACTGAGCCAGCACGATGATTTAGGCCCCTGAAAAATAAACTATCAGGAATAAAATAGGAGTTCAGAACACATTGGCTGCCTTGTGAGTGAGATTTAAGAGCCACGCTTTCAACCGTAAATAAATTAACCTTATTTATTTTAGCTCTGTTTTATGATTTGTTTTTCTTTAAATAGGATCAGTGGGATATGGATGGATGAGGATGATAATTAAGCCAATTGGTTATTACATTCATCATAAATTAGCAGAAGACAATGAGAGGTCTTTTCGAGGATACCGTTTTAGGTATTTGGAATACTGGTAGAATGGTTTTCTGTTAGCTTGCCAGAAAAACATGTTTATTTCCAAAAAGAAATGTTGCTCCGTGGTGTTTGGGTATTCATGTGTATTTAAAATGATGGATTTTGCTAAATAAATTGGAGAATTATGTATTAAGTAGTAATTCATAAAGACAATAAAATGATTTCCAACCATCCTGTTATTATTTTGTGTAGTTCTTCTTCCATTACCCTGCTTCCCATATTTGGTAATATATTGTGATACAACAGGTGTAAACAGAGGTGAGTCAGATGCAATTGGACACTTTTTTTTCATTTTGTAAGTGTATCCAGAATTTTTCCCTATAAGAATATACTACTAGGATATGATACATTCATATGACCAAGAATACACCTAAAGTAATTTTCTAAACAAGTGCTCTGTCTGAGCACATTCTGTTAAAACGCAAAACTGAATATGGGCATAACAACTGTATTAAGTGGAACAGAAATTTCTGGAGGCCAGACTGACTATATACTTTTTAGGGAAACCGGAGAGAGTTGGCATTACTGGGGATAGGTTACTCTTCTAGCTCTCGATTCCATCTCGTTTCAGAACCCCTTGGTGTGGCTACAGTCTGGGAAGGGTGTTAGACGCTGACGGGCCTGTGGATGTCACAGTAGTGTTCCTCAGTGAAAAACTTGTTGACAGAGCAGAAGACATGGTGGTAGAGAAGAGGTTGAACCATGGTAAACAGCTTAGATAGCCACTAGTTAGGTCTTCAGTACATTTGAATTCATAAGTGATGAGCCCTGCCTAGACGTTGCTCTTTTTGGAAAGTCTAGTATTTCAAAGAGTCAGTTCTCACTTGTCAGAAACTTACAATCGTATATTACCTTCTTCAGAGTCAAAAAGTACTAAAAGTACAACTGATTTTTCCATAGGCTAGGATAAGAGATCATGTCACTACCTCAAAAACAATCGTGTATAATGCCTTCATTTCTGAAAATAGTTGCGTCTAACTCCTCTTTATTCTTAGCATCCTTTGGTGGCAGAAAAAGAAAAAAAACATAGGTGTATTCCCAAACACACCTGTTCCCTACAGGAGCCGTAAGAATGGGGAATAAAGACTGATAGCCTCAACACGCCTCTCCACCAACACACCACTGTCTCCATCCCCGTAAGTGAGGACCGCTGTTACACACAGGAGCAAATAGAGCAGCTGAGGGTTTAGGAAACAAACATGGTGACTGAGTTTCAGCATCTTTCAAAGCATCCGCTGCTACCTCACCACCACAAGACTCCTCCTCTTTAAAAGCTCTAGTCTTCTCTAGTGGCAATTCCTTCCTTCTCTGCTGTCAACTCTTAAAACACTTGAACTTAACCATTTAACAATATCTCCAATTGAATATGCTACTTTTCTAAGAGTTCATTCTCATTTTCTTTCATTTCTGTCGTTTGGTGTGGATTACTTCTTTGGTTTTCACTTCTACTCTATCTATCTATCTTTCTATCTGTCTATCTACCTGTCTATCTCTCTCTCTCTCTCTATCTATACATATATGTGTGTTTTTTTTTTTTGAATGTGAGGTTTATTGCTCCACATAATTGTACACCCCTGCCAAAGGTGCTCACTAAGTAGATTGTACCCCCCGTATTCTGGCAGGGATGGCTACTGTGATGAGACAGTGATGAAAAACGAAAGTAAGTTCATTTAGGGCTGTAGTTCTCAGTAAATGATTGACCTTTACCCAGTGGCATTTTCATGAACTTTATCGCTTACACAGTAATTAAGTCATAGAGGAAAGGGTAAAATTTGATCTTAGACTGGTTCCTCCTGTCCTTTGTCCTAGGGTGAGTTGACACAGAAATCTCTTCTACACATGCATAGCCCCTTGATACATAGTACGTAAAAGGAACAAAGGAGCAAAGGGCCCTAAGGTGTCTAAACCACTCCTCACTTATCAACCTGATTAGGTTCCAAAGAACAGGTCGTTATATGAAAATCAGTGTTATGCAAAAATGGAGGTTGACCATGTCAGATCACAAAATGGAGGATGACTACATCACTAACATAACTGCCAAATTACATCATTATTTACCAAACCACTGAGAATCATGACCCAGCTAAACTGACACATAACTTTAACCATCATAGCCAGTGTTACTCTTGCCTCGCATCTCAGTGCTTGTTACTGCCAGACATACATTGTTAATGTGCAAAATCGTCCGACAGTAGATTTTTCACTCTTGTCGTAAATGCAAAATGTTGGATAACGAGATAGATGATAAGTAAGGAGTAGGTGTATATAGTTGGGATGGAGAAGAAATGTGTTTATATGCTGAGAAAAAGGGGAAGGGAAGGAAGAAGGAGGCTGCTTGACACAAACTGGGCTCAAAGATGTGTGACAGTCTTGTGGTAAGTTTTGATGGCGTCAAAGGAAAAAACATTACCTCCCCTTCTGGGATCTAAGATTAGATCTTGCTCATGCCTCTAAGGCTCTAGGAGAGCTTACAGCCAAAGCACTAGGGGAGTGGGGCTGCTTCCCCAGGGTACATTCTTTCAGTACAATTTCAGTGCAAGGATCATGCAGCCAGTGAGGGGAGAAACTGCTTTTTGCTGCCCCTGCAGCTACCTAATCTCATCCACCAGATTGATTCATTATTCAATAGATATTTACTGAGCACCAGTCTTGAGATTGGTGTGGACCCTGACAGAGGTGGAAGAAGTTTCTTTTGCATTAATAACTTCAATTTCACTTTGAAACTTTCCCGGAACCTTTATTTTCCCTGGTTTGATCTCACTGTGAAGTCAGTGCGTTTCTATCTTCATGGAGTACCCTGGCAGCACCAAGAATCAAAGCAGATCATTGAAGATATGCCAATGATCTGCTTTTAACCTTAGTGCCTTTCTCAGTAGGTTGAATATACTTTTTTTTTTTTTTTTTTTGCCTTCCAGTTATCAAACAGTGGGTTTACATTCATCTTTTAACCATTAGGTGTCATATGAATCAACTTCAGGAGAGGCTAGTTTCTAATTGGTATAATAACTTATGACAGGCACTTTGATCTCTTGTGCCCTTGTGGCCATCTTAGGCAATTTGCTTTCAAAGAAAGAGATATTCATTATGAATAATGCTTTTATTCATTTTTTTATTTCTTTTTTTTTCATATTTGGAAGAGAACCTTACCTAAAAGAGGGAGGATAAGACCTGAAAAAGACACAGCAGCATCAAAGAAGTTAATTTATAAAACAGGTAACAAGACAATGATGGAATCTCATTCTTACATAAATAGCCTCCTATAAATTTGTCCTCAACCTCATTCTTCTATTGAAATTTTTTTCTTCTTATTCAGTGTAACATCTTTTCATTAGTGATCACCCTGTTGATTTCAAATTCTAATGCCAACCAATTATGATGCATTTATTGAGTCCTTTAGCATTCCAGAGTCATAGCAAAAAGGTGGTGAATTGTCTGACTCATGCAATCTTAGATGATTTATTAATTTTATGCTATCCATTGGGATCCCATGGAAATGGGCTGTTTATGCCTTTCCAAATCTGACTCAGAGACACATATTTTCACCAAGACTTTTCGGCCCCATATTTCAATGTCTTCTCCAATCTTCTTTATTGTATCCTACCTTTTAGTTACCGTAACAAACTGTAAGCCATAATACACGACAGTAAGAGGAGGTTTTGGTCTTTGTTTTCCATATTCATCAGTTCCCTCTGATATGGAAAACCTATCTCACATGTAATCAAGTCATGGTGCCCAACCGTACCAGACATCCAAGAGCCTCCAAAACTGTGCTTTGGAGATTTCGAGTTACTTAGCAATGTTAGGGTAAGAGCTTGGAATAATATTTGTGTCTTCCTTCTCTTTCTGTCTCTATGTCAAGGTTATCAAAAATATGTATTTTTTAAACTGTCAAGATATCTCACACACTTTTCCTTTACTCCCCATTCCTAATCCGACAACCCTCATTACCCCAAGTATTTTTTGTAAGAGTTCCCACTTTGTCTTCTTACCTCAAGATTTTCCCACATCCATCCACCTGTTTGGTACACTCATGCCAGGCCAATCTCTCTAGAATGCTACATTTAATATTTCATTTTCTTATTAAAATAGCAAAATAACTTTCTTCTCCATGAATTCCAAATTCTTCTGCTTTGTTTTGAAGCTCACCATAATCTGACCCTGCCCCTGACACACACACACACACACACACACACACAACACACACATTCACCTTTCCTTACCAAATTCTCTTATTGTACGTTACATTTCAGCCTAGAAGTTCTTTTGTTTACCTCAACCACATAATGCCTGTTTACATAAGTATATTCCATGTCTTTTCTCATTTTATTTTCTCTATCTATAATGCTTTCCAGTAACCACTCTTTTGATTCTTCTGCTTAGTCTTTAATACCAATTCCTCTGTGAAGACTTTTTCTTCTTCAGTCCACATCATCCTGTCTGTTCTTTGTAGCGGGAGTTAGTAGCATATGTGTTATCCTTAATTGTTCTGTAATTGTTTCATGTGGATTACATGCATGTTCGTTAATAGATTGAAAGTCCCTAGATTCATTCATTTATTTATTGAGCATTTGACTGCAAGTGCTTGTCAGGCATTGTGCAAGTGATGAAGATAGGGATTCCTAAAAGAACAACAAGCAAGATGGCATATACCAGGTATGCCACCCACCACTGCTCCATCTGTAACAGGCATTGCTAATTGATTTCACCATCCTTTCCTCTTGATCTTGAAAATGGCTTCAGAATCCCAAACTGGTCATTATTGACAGATTGGACTAAGAAGCAAGTTGAAATCTATTTGATATACCTGATCTATAACCTAAATGTGTATATGTATATATATATATATCACAATCCAATTTTATAAAGAGTGGCACCTGAGCCTTATTTTTGGTTTGTATATCCAAATATCCAATACAATAGCTGGAGAGTTTCAATAAAGATGTGAGAATATTTTATTGAAATGGAAAACAAATTTTATATTAATATTCAAGTCTCACAAACATTGTCTACAGGAAAATATGATTTACTCACATAGAGAGTACATTAAGGACCAATAGTCTTACATTGATTTATTTCTTCAACCACACTCAGAGATACAGAGCAACATAATTAGCAGCAGCATCTTCGGACACAAAGAAAATCAATTCTTATGCGTGCGTAAGTGTCGGCTAAGAATCTTATAGAATTTTTCACAACGTCTGATTCAATAGACTCCATCTACAATAGAGAAACTCTAGTGCTCTCTTCCATAATACATTTTGACTAATACTGAAAATGTTATAGACCTAGCAACAGAACCACAACCAACAGAAAACTATATTACAGTACAATTAATGCGTAGAGAAGTTTGATAGTGCAGTTCCCAAACAGCAACATTTTGAGAGTGGTTTGTATGCACACACGTGTTTGTATCAGAGACGAAACTAAGAGAAAGCATGAAGGAGAAAAAGAGAGCTGACAGGAGAACAGGCTCTTGCTGTGTATTAGGAGAAAACAAGAACAACTAATTGGTGACAATGTTTTGGAAGCATTCTAGTACACAGATTAGGGAAGGTTATATTTTCTCATAGCTACAACAATTAGTAGATGGTTGTGAGGGAAATATAAATAAAAAGAGCTGCTAAATAGATATGTCTTTCTCCATAAATAGCTTGCTTCATTCAAATGGCAGAAATTTCCTCTGTGAAAAGCTTAATAAAGATGAAGCATACATATGCTTAGCTAAATTTAGTTCTACAAGCTGTTCTTTAGGATTTAAAGGAAAAATAATTTTGATTAATCAAGGCCTTCTCACCAGTTTGGGAAGACCATTATCCTCCTTCATCCAGTTTGAAGAGTAATCAACCATCCAGAACGGATATCTCAAGCATCAATGGGAACTATTCCGCCTTCTTTATCTTTTATTTCAATTTGCTGGCAGTATCTCGGCTTTCAGATTTTTCATACAATTCCCAATTTTTATGGATTGCACAGGTCTATATCCACACTACTAAGGATACCCTCTCAGAAGAAAAGCTCTGCTGCTGTTATCTGGATGTGTGAGTAACTCGAATGGACCCAGAGTTTTATCGTAATTGCTAGTCGATACATGTGTATCTACATAGATCCAGGAAAGTGCATTGTACACAAGAGATGCTTAGCATAAATATATGGAAGTTAAAGATAGACACTCATTTTTCATTGCTTTGCTTTAAAAACAAGACATAAAAATACAGCATTTAATGTTACCTTGAAAATAAATATCACTATGTTATTTATCTACAATAGCTTGGCCTCCTTCTAGAAGTATAACCCAAAAAACCAAACACATTGCTGTCAAGTCAATTCCAACTCTTAACAACCCTATAGGACAGAGTAGAACTGCCCCACAGGGTTTCTAAGACTGTAAATCTTTATGGCAGCAGCCTGCTACTTCTTTCTGACAGCTGGTGGGTTTGAACTGCTGACCTTTCAGTTATCAGCCAAGCACTTAACCACCGCGCTACTGGGGCTCCTTCCTAAAACTATATAGACAGCAAATTAGTTACATATTATAGCTTACAATAGCTATTTATTCATCACAAGTGTGTAGATAAGCATATTTAAAAATTTTATTTGAATGTATTTTTGTCTTCATCTTGATATTTTAGTGTTCTAAAAGACATTGGGGTGGAAGTGGGGAAGAGTCTCAAAAGTTACAAGCAGAGGCAATTTAAAAACCTGAAGAAAACATTTCCTTGGTGTCGTACAAACTGACCTACCTGAAGCATTTGGAACATCAAAATGTGGCTGCGGTGTTCAAACCAAGAAGCTGCAAAAAACTAAGTGATTCAGGCACTTCATAATTGAAGTATTTCATATGGATCTAGGGCTGCCCCACGTTCATCTCTTAGCCTGTCTGACATTTTCTTTCTGAGATAAACAGGAGTGTAAGCAAAGGGAGGACTACAAATTGTTGGAAAAATGAAGGAAAATAGTATTATTTTTTCTTCCTCTCGGCATTTTGATATTTGGAGACTAAAAAAGGTATTGGAATTTTTACTTTCAGTAAGAATATGCTCAGCAACTTGAGTTAATACTCTATTATGAGGCTAGTCTTTTCACATTTTCAAAATGAGACCAATACTGACCTCACGGTAGTCCAAATAGGGTGAATAGTTTATAATTATAAACAGTATGCAAGAAAACCATGACTGTAGTTCTCTTCCATTTGAAAAGTAATTCAAAGGGTATATGTTATTAGAAAGGCCCTGGGTGGTGCAAACAGTTGAGCGCTCAGCTACTCGCTGAAAGGTTAGCAGTTCTTACTCACCTGCCTCGAAAGACGAGCCTGACAATCTGTTTCTGAAAAGTCACAGTCTGAAGACTCTATGGAGCAACTCTACTCTGCACATTTAGGGTCGCCATGAGTCAGAATTGTCCAGATGGCAACTAACAATAATATGTTATTAGAGATGAGGGCTTTTATTTGCAGACAACATTCATTCAAGTGTAAATCACTGTCACCCACATACACCCCACAGGCTTGACCTTACACACATTTCAAAACGGGCAAATCTAGATGAGTCAAGAAAGTCAACCGTGATAATCAAATAGGAAAACCCTGAAAGACCAAGATACACAAAAGGTCAGCAGTTCGAACCCACCAGGCGCTCCTTGGAAACCGTATGGGGCAATTGTAGTCTGTCCTGTAGGGTCGCTATGAGTCAGAATCGACTCAATGGCAGCGGGTTATATCAAATCGTGTGGCCTCAGTACTTCAGCCTCCTCTGAGCATAAGGGCAGGAAGAGAGATGGAAATAGAGATTAGCCTGTTGAGTGGGGAGAGAGGAAATCTTCCCATTTATCTCAAAGAGTGTTTCCTCAAACTGGGCCAAAGTCCTTCTGGCTGGTGGTAGCAGTGGGAAGCTTTTAAAAGAGTTTAGAGCCCCGCTTTTGTTCCCCGTTTTATTCCATCTTTGGATTTGCTAAAAATTAGAGGAAACCTTGCCAACCTGCGGTCTATAGATCCAATCCTGGGCACACATAAAAGCATCAGCCCATTGCTTTGTAGCCTTTTGCACCTTTGCATATCTTGTTTTTTTTTTTTTTTTTGTCCTCAGGAGCCAACCCGGGACAAAAATCCCATTGTGGCACTGTGATTCTTCCTAAAATCTAGTTTCCAATAATTTGGTAATGACTTATGCTACCTTTCAAAGGTGAACTTATATTTAAAAAATTTAGCCTTACAATAGGT